GGGCCACATGTTCAAGGCCTGCCTGGGCAAGTTAGCAAGATTATTTCAAAGTAAAAAGCAGAAAGAGGACCAGGATGCTTGGGCATGGCTCACTTACCAGCCAGCAGGTTGGATCTGGAGTCAGCCAGTCTAAACAAGCTCAGTGAGAGGAGGGAGGGGAAGAAGAGGAGGAGGGGGGAGGAAGAGGAGGAGGGGGGAGGGAGAGGAGGAGGGAGGGCAGGAAGAAGAGGACGCGGGGAGGAGGGAGGGGAAAAGGGAAAAAGTGAGGAGCTGGAGAGATGGCTTCCATTAAGAGCACCTGTTGCTCTTGCAGAGGACCTAGGCTGGGTTCCAAGCACCCATACGGTGGCTCACAACCACCTGTAGCCCTAGTTCTAAGGCAGTGGTTCTCAACCTGGGCATTGGGACCCCTGAGGGAAAGCCAAACAACCCTTTCACAGGGGTTTCCTAAGACCATCAGATATTTACATTATGATTCAGTAGCAAGATTACAGTTACGAAGTAGCGGCAAAGGTAGTTTTATGGTGGGGGGGGTCATCACAACGTGAGGAATTGTATTAAAGGGTCACGGCATTGCGAGGCTGAGAACCATTGTAAGGGACCACATGCCCTCTTCTGGCCTCAGAGGGCACTGCATGCATGTGCACAGACACCCATGAAGGCAAAATATCATATAAAATAAAAATAAAAAGTTAGGGGGCTGGAGAGATGGCTCAGCAGCTAAGAGCACTGGCTGCTCTACCAGAGGTCCTGAGTTCAATTCCCAGCCATGACATGGTGGTTCACAACCATCTATAATGGGATCTGATGCCCAGTTCTGGCATGCAGGGGTATATGCAAATAAGAGTTCTCATGTACATAGAATAAATAAAATTAAAAATAAATGAAATTAATTAAAGAAACAGAAGAGGAAGAGGGGAGCAGGAGGAACAGGGAAGCAGAGGCATGTTAGAGGTTCTGATCCCAAGCCAAGTATTTAGTGCTTGCTTACAAGTTCACAAAGCCCCAGGTTCAGTCCCACCACCAAATAAACAGGATGTGGTGGCGCACGCCCGTTATCCCAGCAAGGGGGAAGTAGAAGCAGGAGGATCAGCAGCTCAAGGCTAACCTCAGATCATGACATATACAGCACATGCAGTCCCAGCCCAACCTGGGCTACAGCAAACTTAATCTCTCAGCCTTCAAAGTAGGAGCCTTGGGAAGTTTCTGTCCATCCATCCATTCAGCATTCATTCACTGAGCGCACATTATGTGGCAGGCACCGTTCTAGGCCCCAGAGGGATACATTATGAACAAATTAGACCAAAGTCCTGACTTCATCAAGTTACATCCTGTGGAAGAGTCCATCAAACATGGAGTCAAACAAGGTAAGGGAAATGGACTGCCACTTGACACAGGGTCGTCTTCAAGGCTTTTCCAATGGCGTCAGACCTCAGACCTGAAGGGAGTGAGTGGTCACGCAGATGCCCAGGGAGAAGCCTTCCAGACAGAGGTGAAAGTCTGTGCAAAGCCCCTGGGATAGGCACTGTGATTAGAAGAGGAACAACAGACAGGGGGTGTGAAGAAGCGAGTGGAGGAGAGTGACGTGACGACAGTTGGGACAGACTATAGTCGGGGACAACAGAGGTGCAGCTGGGGACAGGCCTTCAGGGTCTCCCCCTGGGATTCCAGTTAAAGACAAGATCTTTGGCTGCTGGGAGGAAGGGGGTGAAACTAAAAATGTCCAAATCACAGATTCTCAGAACTTGGGCATCTGGATACCCAAGACATGCGAGTGCCGAGATCTGCTAGCGTCGGCATCCCCAGCTGTCAGAGCCACCCTGTGTAGGATGCAGGCTTGGGAAACACGGACTGCGGGGCCGGCGGCTCAGAGTTGAGCGGGATCAGATGAGGGGCTTGGAACCAGGAAGACAGAACCCTGGAGCTAGCTTAAGGGCATGTGCATACAGGATCCTCGACGGCCTTGGAAAATCAAGACCAAAGCCCCTGCCCTGCCTCATCTCCTCACCTGGGCAACCAGAGGCCTGAAGGGGAGTGGGATCCTTAGCACCATGGCTGCTGAGTGGAAAAGCCCGCTAAAGACTCAGTAATCTTGGCACCAACCCAAAGGAGGCTGTTTTCTGGGGACAGGGGGTCAGACACCCAGGGTGACATTAGCAGTGCCTTTTGGGCAGGTTATGAGGGTGAGAATAAAAAATGGGTGTTGAGGGGAGTGAGCCCTTCTCTTCCATCCTGACTCAACCCGTGAGCTGCGGCCAGCACCAGGGCCGGGAACAGCTCCCCATCCTGCTCGTTCACAGACTGGGCGGGGCGACCCAGTCTCGCGCCCCGCGCGCCCCCCAGCCGGTGATCTCGATGACCCCCACCTCCACCCCACTGCACCGGCTCCTCTGGGTCAGGATGCCCCAGTTGCCGCCAAAGCGCGGGGGGGAGGGGGGATTCCTTTGTCTCCTTCCCTCGAGCCCGCGCGCGGAAGATGGAGACCCAAGGAGGACCCCACTCGGGTTTCTGCCCCCCACACCAGGCCGGAGTCTCTCCATACTCACTGCAGTGGGCGAAGACCGGCAGGACCTGCCCCATGGCCCCCCTCGGGCCTGCATCGGGACCCCCGCCCACTCCGGCCGCGCCGCCCTGGGCCTGGGGCCTCGGGCACTCATCTCCGCCGCGTCCACGACGCCGCCGCCATCCTCCCCGGCTGCTCCAGCAGCCGCCGCCGCCGCCGCCGCCGCCACCGCCGCCGCCGCCGCCGCCGCCGCCACCGCCCTTTGCTCCGCTCGGCGCGGGAGGGCGGGGCCGCGGAGAAGCAGGCACTGCAGCGCGGGGCTCGGGGGCGGGGCCTGGAGCAGTGAGGCGGGGCTTGAGGCATGGAGGGCGGAACCTCAGGCCTAAAGGGAGGAGTCTGGGCCTCGGAGGCGAGGCCTTTAGAAGAGCGGGGCGGGGCTCGAGCGTAAGGAGGCGCCGGAGAGGGTACCCAGACCGGTGTGCACCGATCTGGGAGTGTTGTAGCAGATCTAGGGATGGCCTCGAGAAAAGGATGGAACAGGAAGTTCTGGGGAGGAGTCCGAGCCTAGACTTGCAGATAGCACGGAAAAGGGGACCGGGAAAAGTACTCAAACTTGAGACTTACTTTTACACTTACTTGTTTGTGTGTGCATGGCGCATGTATGCGGATCACTTTCCTCCACCACACCTAAGAATAAGGGAGCTTATTCTCACAGTCCTCAAATTAGGCTCCTTGGGAAGTTTCGGTTCACTCACTCTGTCAACATTCATTCACTGACCACCTGTGGTGAGACAGGCAACGCTCTAGGTCCCAGAGGCATGTGCTATAAACAAATTAGATGAAACTCCCATTCTGCCCTCACTCTACTGTGGCCAGCACCAGGTCCTGGGGTTTACTGTTTCTACCAAGTGGAATTGAACTCAGGCCACCAGGCAAAGGCCTTTTACCCCATCCGGGCGTCTTTCCCACCTCAAAGCACTGAACACCTTTGAGGCAACAGAGAAAAGCTCAGACATGGGTGCAGTTGAGGCTATCAAATGATGTAACAGATACGATCTGGAGACAACAGGAAGGACAAGAGAGAGGAAGGTGGAGTGGTAAAATGACCATGATGGGGAGAAAGGGCAGCTTTGGTTCTTAAGGTGTTATTTCCATAGTCAGGTATTTTGTTTTGTTTGAGATGGGGTTTATGCAGCCTATGATGGTTTTGAACTCCGGCTACTCTTCTCAAATGCTGGATTAAAGGCCAGTAACACTATGTCTGGCTTGGAGGCCACCTTTGACTAGGAAGATCTGGTGTTCAAGGCCAGCCTCAGCCACATTAGTTCAGCCTGGGCTCTAGGAGGATCTGTCTTAAACAAAACGAAAGGAAGCGTTTTGGGAGCTGGTACTCGGCCCACTGAAGCTGGAGCTTGTGTTTAGACAATCCAGGATCAGAAGGAGACCCTTTTGTTGAGGACATGGGGTCTAGAGCTCATGTTTCTGCAACACAGCTTCCTTTTTCTGTAATTCAGTTTCCTTTTTTCTAAACTGGCCCCATGAAAGCTAGGCATGGGGGTCAAGAGTTAACTCAGTGGTGAAGAGCACTTGGTGTTCTTAGAAAGAAGCTGGGTCAATTCCCAGCACCCAAATGGCAGCTCACAACAGTTCTGCAGTTCAAGTCCCTATTCTGACGCCCTTTTCTGACTTCCAAGGATACCAAGCACACATACGGTGCACATCCATACATGTAGGCAAAACACCCATACACATAAAATAAATGAATCTAAAAATAAACTACAAGGAAAAAAAAAAAAGCGAGCTGTGGCAGACAAGCCTTTTAACTAAGCATTCAGAAGGAAGAGACAAAGCACCTTCTCTGAGTTTGAGAACCTGGTTTACATAGCGATTTCCAAGCCGGCCAACGCTACATAGTAAGACCCTGTCTCAGAAACCTATAATAATATAGCCAGGTGGTGGTGACGACGCAGCAGGATCTCTGAGTTCGAGGCCAGCCTGGTCTACAGAGTAAATTCCAGAACCCTGTCTCGAAAAACCAAAAATAAATAAATAAGTAATAAGTTGGTTATGTAAAATAGTGTGTGTGTGACCTGTGACAGGGGCTCAGTGCGTATAGGCGAGTGCTGTCAAGCCTGATGAAGTAAGTTCGAGCCCCAGGACCCACACTGTGGAGGACGAGAACCGGCTCTCTCAAATTGCCCACTGACCTCCACACACATTAAGTGATTGTAATAAACTTTTAAATAGTGTTATGCCTGTAATTAAGAATGCAAATAACTTGCTCTTCTCCCCCGTCTCCACCCAGCGCCTGACCCCGACTAAGCCAGTTTTTGTGAAAGTGCTGGAAAGAAGAAACCCGTGAATACACCTCTTAGTGACCCTGCTTCAGGCCAGGTCAAGGGATAGGGAAGAGATTTACTTGGTTTAAAGTCTCACACAAGAGAGATTAGGGGAGGCGGGGGCGGGGAGAGAACCATTCTGATCCCGCGTCAGGAGGATGGCCGCCTTTGCCCGCCTGCTGGAGCGTCTCGGGTGGGCCCCTAGAGCTCAGGAGGCTGAGGAGCAGGAGGTGGAGACGGAGCGCAGGGTCCCCGGCGCTCCCGGGAGCCTCCTGGCTGCGCCCCGATGCTCGCAGAGGCCACACGGGGGTGCAGCGGCCGCACCGGGACTGCGCTTCGGGGCGAGCGCGCTGCAGGGCTGGCGCCCGCGCATGGAGGACGCCCACTGCGCTTGGCTGGCCTTGCCCGGGCTGCCGTCGGGCTGGGCTTTTTTCGCCGTCCTGGATGGCCACGGCGGAGCCCGCGCCGCGCGCTTCGGGGCGCGCTACCTCCCAGGTCACGTGCTTGGGGAGCTGGGTCCTGCGCCCCGGGAGCCGGACGGAGTGCGCCAGGCCCTGCGCAGTGCCTTCCTCCGCGCAGACGCGCAGCTGCGCACACTCTGGCCCCGCGGCGACCCGGGCGGCTCGACGGCGGTGGCGCTGCTGGTGTCCCCGTGTTTCCTCTACCTGGCGCACTGCGGGGACTCGCGCGCGCTGCTGAGCCGCTCTGGCTCCGTGGCCTTCTGCACCGAGGACCACCGTCCCCACCGGCCTCGGGAACGCGAGCGCATCCACGACGCCGGTGGCACCGTCCGTCGCCGGCGCGTTGAGGGCTCCCTGGCCGTGTCGCGAGCCCTAGGCGACTTTGCCTACAAGCAGGCACCGGGGAGGCCTCCCGAGCTGCAGCTCGTGTCGGCTGAGCCCGAGGTAGCTGCGCTGGTACGCCAGGCCGAGGACGAGTTCGTGCTCCTGGCCTCTGATGGAGTGTGGGACGCGCTGTCTGGTGCGGAGCTGGCGGGGCTGGTGGCGTCGCGTCTGCGTCTGGGCCTGGCCCCGGAGCAGCTCTGTGCGCAGCTGCTGGACACCTGTCTATGCAAGGTCTTGGGCCACTGCATGTGGGGAGGAGGGGCTTAGTTGATGACGGGTGGGGTTAGAGCATGTGAGTGGCTTGGAGTCCTGGAGGGCAGAGCAAGAAGGGTGCTTTGAACCATGAGAGAATAGGAGCAGATAGGTAAGTGGGAGGGATTTAAGAGAAGGGGCGTGGTCTCTAGAATGGGGCGCATGCGCGGCCTCTGGCTGGTCCTGAGAGGTGTCTGAAACCCGGAGAGCCCTAAAATAGGAAGACTTTAAAAGGCCTTGGCTGTCTATTTTATTTAAATTGTATATCATTTTAATGTATTTCGTGTGCATGTTTGTACCAAATCTCGTTATGTACTTAAGAGAACATCTTACGGCAGTCAGTTCTCTCCTTCCACCGTGAGTCCCAGGGACTGAAGTCAGCTTGCCAAGCTTGGTGGCAAGCAAGCGTCTCAGCCTACTGAGTCATCTCGCCGGCCTGTGGCTGTTTTCGTTAATAGAGCATGGTGGCCAGGACTGGGAAAGGGCATGGTCCAAAAGATGGGTCTTATAGACTTGAGAGGATTGAGTAGGCGATTGGCGAGGGGGACTGCCGACGCCAGGGTTGTTGGCAAGCCCTTCTCTCAAAGGCGTGGGACTCTGGGATGGAGCCTTTGACTCTCCCACCAGGTTCTCTCTTCTTCACTTCATCCAGGGAAGTCTGGATAACATGACCTGCATGGTAGTCTGCTTTCCGGGGGCCCCCAGGCCTTGTGAGGAGGCCATCAGCAGGGAGACGGCTTTGGATGCAGCCCTGAGCCACAGAGTGGCTGGTGAGCAGGTCAAATGGCCAGGGGGAGGGGCAGTTGGCAAGTGTGGGCTCTCCTCTCACCTCCTCCTCAGAGCTGTATGTCTCTGCTCAGGAAGCGCCATGCCTGAACACGGTTTTCAGGACCCTGGCCTCAGAGGACATCCCAGGCTTGCCTCCTGGAGGAGGGCTCCACAGCAAGTGAGCTGGGGCGAGGTGGCATGGGGCAGGGTGACAGGACCAGGTCCCCTCTTGAGGGCTTCCCTTTTTTCTGTAGGGCTGCTGTCATTGCCGAAGCGTACTCTAAACTGCGTCAGATCCCAGGGGAATGTCAAGAGGTGAGGCGCTCAACTTTAGTGTCTATCCCTAATGTACCCTACACCCCTGCCTGCCTGCCTGCCTGCCTGCCTCCGTGCCCCCTTTTTGTTTCTCTGTGTGTATGTGTATGTCTGAGTGTATATGTTACAGTGTAAATATGTGGGCGTGTGGCATGTTGCTTCTGGAGAGGTCAGAGCTATAGAGTCAGTTCTCTTCTTCCACCATGTGGGGCCGGGAACTGAACTCAGATCATCAGGTTTGGAGGCAAGAAGTGTGTTTACCAGAGAAGCAGCAATCTCTCAAGCCCCTTTAATTTATTTTTTTTTTAATTTAAGGCAGGCATAGTGGCACAGACCTTTAATCCCAGCACTCGGGAGGAAGGCGGATCTCTGAGTTGGAGGCCAGCCTGGTCTATAGAGTGGTCCAGGCCAACCAGGGTGGTTACACAGTGAGACCCTGTTTCAAACACAAACAAACAAACAGACAGACAGACAAAGAAACAGACAAACATAATCAATCAATGAAGGGTTTATATGGGTTAGTGATAGAACAGTTCCCCAGTATCTCAAGGCCCTAGGCTTAATCCCTAGGACTTAAAAAACAGCCAGACAAGATTTCTCAGTGGTTCAGAGCACTTACTCCTATTCCAGAGGACCCATGGACCCCAGAGGAACTTAGGCAAGGCAGTTGAAGGCCACCCTGTCCTATATGTGACCCGGTTAGATGGAAGGAAGGGAGGGAGGGAGGGAGGGAGGGAAGAGAAGAGTGTTGGAGAGATGGTTCAGTGGTTGAGTATCTCTTGCTCTTGTAAAGGACTCATGTTCAGTTCCCAGAATCCACATGGCTGCTAACTCTGGTCCCAGGGGATCTGCCGCCCTCATGTAGCCTCTACACAGATGTATTGTACATATACCTGCATGCAAGCTAAACACCCATACACTTACATTTTTTAATCTTTGAAAAAACTTTGTAGGGGCTGGAGAGATGTCTCAGAGGTTAAGAGCACTGTCTGCTTTTCCAGAGGTCCTGAGTTCAATTCCCAGCAACCACATGGTGGCTCACAACCATCTATAACAAGATCTGGTGCCCTCTGCTGGCACGCAGGTGTACCCGCAGATAGAACACTATATATAATAAATAAATCTAAAAAAAAAAAAAAACTTTGAAAAGAGAAAAATCAAAACTAAAATAATAAAAACAAAACAGAGGGGAGGCTTCTAGGAGGTTGAGTGGGGGTGCTGACTGGCGGCTTCCCCCTTTCCCATGTTCTGTGTCACAGAAGAGATGAGGTGGAAGCCGCTGGCACCCATTCAACCTTGACTTGAACTCAGAGGCCTGACAGCGGCCGTCCTCCGGGGACCATCACAGATCCGGGGACATCAGTGCTTTCCTACCACGAGACACAAAGGAGGGAAGGCCAGCCATGGAGGAACCTGGGATCTCCATTTCCCTTCTCCTACTTCCCCCTCACAAGAGTCTCATGAGGGGGGAATTCCACCCTCTCCCAACAGCAACCACAAAAACCCCCATCAAACCTGCTGCTTTTTCTTCCCCTCAATATTTAAAGCCAAATAGAGCAAGTGGTCAGCATGTAACAGCCTTTTATATATATTTTTTAACCTTTGCTACAAGGAGGTGGTGAGAGATGTGATTATGGAATTTTATTTAATAAAGTAATTCCAAATGTATTCCCTTTCATTATTATTATTAGTAGTAGTATTTATTTTGTGTGTGTGTGTGTCCCACATGCAATGGCTTGCATGTGAAGGTTAGAGGACAACTTTCTGGAGCTGGATCTAGGGATTGAACCCAGGTCCTCAGGATTGTCAGCAAACTCAGTCACCTGCTGGGCCATCTCACTGGGCCCCTTTCTTCTCTTTCTTTTAGTCCTCTGAGCTTCCCTTTCGTTTGTTTGTTTGTTTGTTTGTTTTGTGTGTGAATGTTTTGCCTGCCTTTATTGACACATATTACGTGTGTGCCTGGTGCCTTTGGAGGTCAGATCCCTTCAGAGTTGTGAATTTCTTCATGGATGCTTGAAACCAACCCAAATTCCTCTGTAAGAGCAACAAGTTCTCTTAACGGCTGACCCTTCTCCCCAGCACCCTTTGATTTTTGCTTTGATCATGTAGCCCAGGAGGACCTTGGACTGGAAGCCTTCCTGCCTCAGCCTCACATGTGCTGAGGCCTCAGGCGTGTGGCACTTTCTTATAAAAAGTGGTTTGTTGCCCAGTATGGTGGCTGCAGCTTGTGATTCCAACAGCTCCAGGCGTGAGGCAAAGAGGATCTGGAACTGAAGACCCTGGCCACATAATGGAATTTGGACAGCCTTAAAAAAAAAAAAAAAAAAAAAAATTGGGGCTGGAGAGGCCCAATGGTTAAGAGTGCTTGCTGCACAATCCTAAGGAGCTGAGTTGAGATCCAGGCAGCAGACATCCTGCAATCGCCTGTAACCCCAACTCCAAGGGAAGTGTGCGGACACGCCAGCATTCATCCCTCACATACACTCTTTAAATAAATAAGTTAATTAAACTAGAAATGGTTTCTGCTGGGCACGGTGGCGCGTTCCTGCCTTCGATGCCAGGCTCAGGAGGCAGAGGCAGGCGGATCTCTAAGATTTCAAGGCCAGCCTGGTCTACAGAGCGAGTCTGGGGACAGCCAGTATGAAACAGATAGACCCTGTCTCAGAAACAAAACACAAGAAAACAAAAACATGATTTGCATATTCTCTGGTCAGCAAACGTGCAGTGAGCAACTGCTGTGTTGAGCATCGGGCCCTCCTCACAGCTGAGAGCTGGCTCAGTACATTAGGATCCTGGAGGCCCTGTTTGGGGAGACAGCAAACAAGGGGACTAATAAATAGGAAACAACACAGTGAATAAGGGGAAGAAAACGTCCAAGGACTTTCCCTTGACATTAATTTTTCCCTCCAAATCTTGGGCTGAGAAGCTGGCTCAGCAGGTGCCCTCAAGACCGACAACCCTGAACCCACATGTTGGAAGTCAGAGAACAACGTGCAATATTTTATTTTCTCCTTCTGTCATACTGGTCCCAGGAACTGAACTCCTATCCTTAGATCTGCGTGGTTCCGCTTTCGGATTTCAGGTTGGCCTCAAACTTGTGATCCTCCTGCGGCGGCCTCCCAGTCTGTGGCAGGAACAGCTAGCGTACTGTAGTTCTGCGCAGCGTGAAGAGTTTGTCCTGAAGGACGAGGTTCTCACAGGTGAAGGCCAACAGAGAGCCAGCATCCAGAAAATGGACTGGCCAAAGGCCGGATGCGCTGATTCAACGTGAGTTTTGGGAGACCCAAACAAGACAGTCATAGGCTAAACCTGTCCTCAGCCTCCATGCCTCAGTTTCTCGATCTGTAAAGCAGGAACTGGCGCTTCCCTAGAGTACACGCCTTTCGCCTGGCCAGGTGGAACTCCACGGGGGCGTGTCCAGGTGATGATGTAACTCCGGGCGGGGCCTGTGGGTCCCACTGCGGAAGCCTTGGAGGGTGTCTGGGGGTATCTTGCGGGGGGAGGGGGCTCCAGGGAGGGTATCTGGTGTGGGCAAAACTAAGTGGTAGCTGGGCACGCTTGGGGAGCAGATCCAGAGTCCCACCACCAGCCCTCCACTCCGGTCTATCCCCACCCCCACCCCCGCCCCCACCCAGCCGCGACCGGGCGGTGAGTCAGCGGTCCGCCGCGCCCCCTGGCTCACTTCCTCCACACCTTCCCCGGGAGGGTGGGGGGCGGCGAGGGGTGGGGCCCGGCCTAAGGAGCGAGGTCTGGGCAACGGGGCGCGTGCCGAAGTGTTACTTAAAGGTGGGAATTAATGCGCTCCCCTGCTTAGCCGGGGGGCCTCCCGCCCTCCCAAAACTGAGCAGAAGTCCGCGGAGCGAGTTGGACTCGAGAACCTGCACCCCCAGAATCCAGTAGTGGAGCCAGCTAGAGATCAAAGAAAGGCCCCCTCTCTTCCGGCGAGCTTCACCCTTCAACTGGGGGGCGAGGCCTAGGGTGCACCCCGACGCCGCCAGGCTGAGGAAGGAGAGCGATTGCGGAAGCCGAAGGTTCCGCGTTCTCTTTTAAACGCTCTCCATCCCCCGCCTGGAGGCGTCTACGGCCCCTTTAAGGCGCGCGGCATTGTGGGTGCGGGGAGTGGAATTTTGGAACGAAATGTAGCAAAGAGAGTATAGTAGTAAGAGTAACCGGGTAGGTGCAGCCGGCCGAGGGAGCGCGCCGGCCAGGTCGGGACGCCGCACCCCGCTCCCCACCGCGGGAGATCCAGGCCGTCGGAGCAGCGGAGGGTGGAGCGCGCGAGGACCCGCCCCGGCCCGGTCCACGTTCTCCCCAGGAAGCCGGACTCTATGGGGCGGGACCCCGGGAGCGACTGAGCAGAACCTGGAGCCAGCCCCGCACCCCTGCGCCTCCAGTCCGGGGCGCCCCGGGAGCACTCCCCGAGGGCGCGCCGCCCGCGCTCAGCGCAGCCATGAGGTGAGCTCCGAACCCCCCAGCTGGGTCCCATCCGGGCGCCGTCCCCGCGTCCCGCCTTTGTCCCCCTCCCCCAGCTCGTTCGGGGCTGCCTGTAGGCGCCGCGGCGTTTCGGGCGCCCCAGCTCCCAGCGATGTCTCCCGGGGCGATCTCTAAATATCGACACCCGGTTTCTCCGACTGCTCCCTGGAGGTTTGGGGCGGTGCCGGCCGAGGGTCTCTCCATGGCGTTCAGGTTCAGGGACGCTCTCCGGACCCAGAACAGGAGGACTTTTGGAGGAGCACCTCGGAGTTGGCAGCTAGGTAGAGCCTCGCAGGAAGGATCCGGTTTAAGCGGGGCTCGGAGTTACCGCCCCCAAACTCAAAACCAGGTCGGGGGGAGGGGGCTGGCTTGAGGACCCGAGCCCTGAAACGTGGTCTTCGGACCCCTGCGAAAGGGCCGCTGGATGAGTGTCCTAGAGTGGGACCGTGGCCCTTAACTTCAGGGGTTACTTCTTGATGCCCTTATATTTGGGGGACACAGTTTCTTCTGTTGAAGGGGTTTTGCGATCTGGACCCACGGGGCCTGGAGGGTCTGGATGGGACCCCACTTTCCCTAGGTACTGAGGCTGGGTCCTAGGGCCCGGGAGTACTCCAGGCCCAGGGCGGCTCCCGGCCGGAGGGCGTTTCTAGTTCCCCCTCCACCTGGTGGCCGGGGAGGGAGGGGGCACGGCAGCTGGGGGAGGGGGCCTTTGTCTTCCTGACTCACCTGTCGAGACAGCTGGTGTGGGGGGCGGGCCCCCGAGTGAGCACTGTGGGCCAGCTGCTTCCCCCATACCACATCCCCTCCCCCTAGGCTCAGTGTCGCCGGGTGTCACCTCCCTTCCCCAATCCGTGGGATTGGAGGAGGGGTCGCTGGAAAGCGTCAAGGTCATAGCCTTCTCCCACCAGACTCAGACCCACCAGCTTCTTTCAGCTCTCTCCCCAGGAATTTTCTCCTTTTTTTAATTTAATGTCTTCCCTGGGAGCTGCCCTAAACTCCTGGGCTCACCTGAGGGCGGGGCCTGTGCTGGCAGAGCCCCCTCCCCTCGGCCCCCCAGTGTCTCCCTTGGGGCTACATCTTGACAATACTATCTCCCTTCCTCCACTTTGGCTGGGACTTCCTGCCCCAAAGCCCCTGGCTAGGAGTCTCCTGGGGACAGTTTGGGCTTAACCCCCGTGTGCACATCCTCCAGTCTTGCCCTCTGACATCAGGGTGACATTCCTCGCTAAGACCCTGAGCCAGTACCCCTCCCTCTCACGTCTGTCCCTTGGCATGTGGGAGTGTTGGGATCTGGAGCTAGAAGGGGACATCCGAGACACTCTGGAGACTTCCTGCTTGGTCTTCCCTCCCCTCTGGGAGCTCTGCCCCCCCCCCAAAGGGGGTCATTTCCTCCACTGGCTCCCCACTCTCCTCTCCTGCCGCCCCCAGCCCCTCCCCTCCCCCACCCGTTTCCGGTCCCAGACCCGGTGGAAGGCGGATGGCGGATGTCCGAGTTAGTGCCGCCTCACTCGCTGAGACCGTAAAAGGGCAGGAGCAACGTCTAGGCCGGCCCCCTGCACCCCCACCCCCAGCCCCCGTCCTCCTGCAGCCCGCCCCCTCCGGCTGTGTCCTGGGCCAAACCTCCCTCCCCTGAGGGGAGGCACAAGTTGTACAGGTCCCCCAACCCTCTTAGGGGAGGGTCTCCCTCGTCCTAGGTCACTTGCTGGGTTGTGTCACTTCTCCGAGGACAGCTAGGATTAAAAGACAGACCTGTCCCTAATTCCCAGCTGGGTACACCGAGCCCCCCTCTGGAAGCCTGGCCCCAGTGCCCTCAGAGAAGGGAGCAGACTGGTTTGACTGGGGGCAGTGGGAAGGGGGGAGGTTGAGATGGAAAATTACAAGATATGGTTCTTTTTCTCCTGGTTTGACAAATATTTGTCGAGTGTCTGCTGCGTCCACATCCGGGAGCTGGGAAGACAGAGAGGGGTCAGAGGTCTTGGGGCTTTTGGGCAGACAGAATTCTGAAAGCATGTGGTTCATTCCTTTCCTCTTGCAATAACACAAGCAATTGTTGATTTATTTTATTTTTAAATGATGTGGCTGGTTCAGTCACACGTCTTTGTGGCAGGCGCTGTTACATGGGTCTGATTCCATTTCAGTCTCCACCGCAGTCAAATGTGATGTTAGTACAAGCTTGTGCCCTCGT